ATATGAGTTTAACTAACATAGTATTGCACACCTGTACTTGGTCTTAGTAAAACTTTAATGGAAGAAACTTTCTTTACATGGTAAATGTACTAGTGAATAGACAAGCACACTCACAAAACACTTTGGACTTCAAATAGGCACCTAACAGGGTAAGCAACAGAACCTAAAGGTGATGATTACAACCCTAGTCTTTCTTCTCAAAAGAGAAGTATTAAAAAGAGGAAGTAATGTATTTATGATGTAGCAAATTTACTCATTGCTTAGTTACATAACATGTTATTTTCCTATCTACTCCAATAAAATCCATGGCCTCTGTGAAAATTTTCAGATTTTTATCTGCTTGTCTTAATCAGCAATTGAAACAATGCAGAATTGTTTATGTTGAACTCAGTGACCTTGTATAATTGTGATTGTCTCCTTTCACAGTTTATTATCCTTGTACTCTTTCCTCTCTTTGGTAATATTCAATATTGAATCATTGGTAATATTTGAATAATATTCAAATAATCCAAAAATCAAAAGTGTCTGGATGGCTATCAGTAAAAATAAAATGGTATAGAAATGACTAACATCTTTGGTGGGGAATATGTGTTAATATATGTTGAAATATTGAGATTCTGTGCACTAGGATCTCAACTTTAACAAAGCCTTAGGAACAATAAAGTACAAAAATGAGATGAATGCAGCAGAATTCACAGGGGTATAAAGATCCTTGTTTCTTTCCTGCTTAAGTCTGCATGGCCAATTATTTAAAAAAAACCTTATGTTTTCTTGTCAAGTGTTATGTACATAGATGGCGTCATTTATAAATTAAAATCCCCAAAGTCTCTTTTAAGTTGAAATCAACTACACATTCATATATGGAGCTTTTTTGGCAGCACTGTAGCAATAATTATTATATTTTAACACAGTAATTCTCAACCTTTCTAATGCCGTGACCCCATAATACAGTTCCCCATGTTGTGGTGACCCCCAAGTGGGTGTGGCCACCAATAAGAGGGAGTAGGACAGCTAGGAAAAAGGGGAAAAAAAGGCGGACAGCATGGTTTGATGACCCCCGTGAAATGATCATTCGACCCCAAATGGCGTCCCGACCCACAGGTTGAGAACCACTGTTTTAACATATTCCATTAAATAGGCTAGACTGGGAAGTCAAACAACTTCCTGGAAAATGATCACTTTTGTATTCAGTGCCAAGAAAACTGTATAGATATTTCTATGTAATTACCAGGAAATGAAGTCAATTTAAGGTCATCTTTATCATCACCCGTACAACTTTTATTGGAGGTATCCAGGATTGAATCAGGGTCATTGTACAGGTAAGTTTCATTGCTCTGTCACAGAGCTTTCTTCAAGTAATGCTGCATACAAATACAGTAACAGGTAGGAAGGTTTCCTCCTCCAATGTAATTGACAGGTGAAAATTTTGATTTATGCTGCAATTTAATCCAGGTTTTTTTAGTAATGCACTTGCTGCATTGGGAAGAATTTATGTTCAAATCAGTGTAATTCGTATGAATATCAGAACCTTAGACTTATCAATGCCATTCCTTAATTCTGCTTGTTTACATTCTGTAATATTTACAAATATGAAATGTCCCTCAGTGGATGACTGAAGAGAATGGTATAGTTTTTTCTGTTCTAAGCTGTGCCATAAACTTAATGATCAGAGCTGCAGCTCTTTTGAAATCTTTGTTATGTTGACAAATTATAATGGTAGAATGATCTTTGAAATAGTTTTCTCTGTATCATTAGGTGAACATGAACTTTGTACAAATGTAGACTGGAAGAGAAGGACATCTGAGGTTACTGCTGATTTTCCTTTTTGAACATAAACTACTAGAAGCCACTGTTCATCTCCTTACTGCTCTGCAGGACTCAGGCCATAACTTACATGTCCGAACAAAGCCGCTGGCAGGAGAAGAAAAGGGCATCCAGCATTCCAGCAAACTGTTTTCTCCTCAAACCAAGAAAATAGTTTCTGGAACTAACTAGATTGTAGATCTTATTATAGTGTTTGGCGCCACAAAAAAGATACTTTTGCATGATCTGCCATAAAAATGCTCAATGTTCTTGTAAAAAAAAAACCAGAAGTCTAAGTTAATATCCCAATTTAGTGTGTCTACCATCTATCTCCATAAAGGAAAGAAAAGATGGCATCAAGTAGCACAGTGTTTGTCCATGATAATTTATTAATATAGATGTAAATTCTTATCGTAATGTGGATTCTAGTGACCTGTGTCCAAAAGGTGCTTTTCAAAGGCAACTGGACTATCTTGGGGTTTTTTTTTTTTTCCTTGGAAACATTTTTGTTCTCATCTAAGCAGCTTCTTCCGTTCTGGCTGAATGGTGGGGAATGGAAGGATTTATACGCCTTAGCATTCTGAAGGTCAGTCGATATCTTTCTGAGAGTCCTTAAGGCCACTTGGGGTTTATCTGTACCCTCACTGTTACCTGAATCAGAATGCAAATGGGTGTGGAACCTTCTTGAAACTGCTGAAATTGTATTGAAGACAGGTGGTGTTGTATCCCTCCCACTCTGTTGAGAGAAGGCTGTTCAATTTTAATATAAATGGCCTCTTTCCAATTGAGGACCTCTAAAATCTGGTCAGAGGCCATCAATATTAAAATTGAACAGTCTTCTCTCAACAGAGTGGGAGGGATACAATGCCACCTATCTCCTGTCTATGATACAATCCTTTCAGCAGTCCCCAAAAGGTTCCACACCCATTTGCACTCCAATTCAGGTGACCCTGAGGGTTAGGGTTAGGGCCCCCTGTGGCCTTAAGGACTTTCAGAGTGTTAAAGACCAACATTGATAGTGCTAATGACCAGATGACTGCTAAGGAATGATTCCCCATCATTCAGCCAGAACTGAAAAAGTTTTTTGGATGAGAAGTGAAATGTTTTCAAAGAAAAAACAAACAAGGAAGTCCAATTGCCTTTTGAAAAGCATCTTTGGGACAACTGTGACCTGGATGATTGAGAATCTCCATAGACATGTAGTGTGCTTTTGTTATAGATGCTAACGGTGGAGTATCTTCTCCCCCTTTTTTAAGGTTACTTTTTCTTTGGAACTGCTTAAACATTACTTAAAATAGGGGGCAGCTTAAATATAGGTCTACTTCCCATAAATTAAAATCCTTGGTCACCTTCTTCTAATAAAGGGATATTTTTAGTTGTAAGTAAAGCTTACAGATAATGAAGTACTCTTGATGATGAATGTCTTCTACTCAGTAGTTTTTGAGAACTTATCATCAACAGCTTTCAGGCACCAGGTTAGGGAGCTTGTACACATCAGTGACAGAAAAGCCATTCAGTTTCCATCTTCTGGAATTGTTCTTCCTCTTCCACAGTAGTTTTCTTTTTCAAATTTCTTTTGTTATTTAAAATGTGGTTGAGGTCAGTTTTAACCTTTCATTGAGCTGTCCTTGTTCTTGAAATGTACCATAAATGCCGGCGTATAAGGCGACTTCTGCGAGCGCTGAAATTGGCGCCAAAGACGGGGGTCGTCTTATATGCCGAGTCGTCTTATACGCCGGAAATACTGGTAGTTTCCAGCGTATAAGACGACGTTCTAGGAATGCGGCCCAGCTATAAAGACGGGGTCGTCTTATACGCCGGGTCGCCTTGTACGCCGGCATTTACGGTACAAGAGCTTAGACTCAAGGCTTCACACACATTTGCACTACTCAGGTGACCCTGAGGACACAGGTAAACTCCCAATGGCTGCAAGGACTCTCTAAAAGAATCCAAATGACCAGCTGTCTACAAGGAGTATAAATCCTTCCATTCCCCACCATCCAGTCAGAGCTGAAGAAGCTTTTTGGATGAGAAGTGAAACATAGTTTAAACAAACAAACAAACAAGAAAGTCCAGTTGCCTGCTGAAAAAGCATCTTTGCGTTATAGCTCTTTAGAAATATGGACTATACCTAAATCAAACAAATAATATTTTCTTTCACATTGAGAACTAACTGGACCCTTGAGGAAGATGCAGAATGGGAAAGCCAGAAGATGACTCTGGATTGAAGAGGCTATTTAAACAAATATTTAAATACCTTATTTAGAAAAACACTGGACAAATACTATTTCAAGTTGCAGGTTCAGAAAGGATGAGGTTAGTGAATGAAATGTATAATTTAGGGATAGCAGATAACAATAGTAAAGAAGTTAAAAGGGGAGAAGATTGTGGAGAAGACAAGGAGAGGGGTCAAAGAGCAACACTTGTGGTTACAGAGAGAAGAAATACACCCCCGTTTGTCAGCTTCCTCCTTTCTTCCGTCTTAACGGTCTGTTTTGAAGAGTTTGGGGAAGGTAAATTCTGAGGGCAAAACACTGGCAAAAAACACAGGGCCAAGATTTCTTTTCTTTGCACTCTCGGTCTTAATGTTTAAAGCCCATAATGGCACACGCAGAAGTTTCTCATTTATTAATCCAGGATTACAGCAAAATATCTCTGAAAGAAACCACACCAAAAACCTCAAAGGTCCTCTCCTTGCCTTGATGAAAAGTGCAAGCACCACTTAGCGGATGTTGCAGAAAATAAAAAAACAAACAAACTGAATTTAATCGGTTTATAAGGTCTGGTGAGAGAGAAAAAGAGGACCGGGAGAACCCCAGAGGAAAAACATTTCGTTGTTTAAACTCTCTGCCTTTCCAGTGAATGCACACAAGAGCCGGGATTAGGAATCCTTGCTAAAACTCAACAGTTGCAGGCCAGCCGCTCGCGCTCCTTTCGGGAGGGCCGCGCGCCGCGCCGAAAACTCTTTCCACCCCGCCCCCAGCCACGAGGTGCTTTCCAGCCCGGCTGCCTCTGGGAGAGCGCGCAGCGTTGAGTCAAAGCCGTTTGGAGCCTGCATGAAATATTAGTGGCAATTGTGCTTACTCATAAGTAGTAGCCTTTTATCTCCTCCTCCTCCTCTTTTTTTTTTTAAAATGCTGTATCACTTGTATTCCAACAGGGGTGTGACTTCGGATTCTGTTCCCCTCCCTGTTTAGGTCACTCATTATTTCAGTAGCGTTTCGAATTGAAGTAGAAGACGCCGGCTTTCTGGAGAGATTTAACTGTAGGCTGCGAGAGGAAAGTCCGTCGTCTTTGGGTACAAGATCTGGAAGCGAGAGCAATGGCCAAATTCTGGTTGTGTGCAGCCGTTGGATTTTACATGTTGCAGCAGATTTGCGCAGCCCGAATGGGTAAGTGACGGGTGAATGGGGATCTATCAAGATCTGAGCTGGTTAAAGGAAAATGTTTTATTAGGATAAGAAGACTTCTCCCGCTTGCCAGCGCCTTGAGTCATTAACACTTTTTAATCCCAGTGGGGTTTTACTGTTTTTCTCTCTCCAAGGATGGTTTCTCCATGTGCGTTTTTTCCCCCCTTTGGAGAGCTGTGGCGGTTGTTGGGCGCGCGTGGAGAGACGCCCGAAAAGTTAGTCTTAAGGAGGGGAACACTGATCGGTAAAGTGAACGGTAGAGTTTGACACAAGTTTTTGCACATCTTGTGCACATTCGGCAGTGGCAAAGACACTTATGGATTCATTTCCCCCTCCCTTCATTCTGTAAAGCAGATGGAAGAGGGAGAGGAAGAGGGAGAAAGAGAATGAGAGCGAGCGCAAACCCTCCTGACTTGGACTTGGGTCTCTGTATGATGGGAAACCAATTGTTCACATAGGAGATGCAGAAAGCATAGTACCTCTTCCATAATGAAAAATGAACAGTGTTCGTTTGCTTTCGGACGGGACTGCTGCGAACTGGAAGCAGATTTTAAGCTCATTTGGCAGGAAAAGAGTAGTTTTTTTTCAACTTCATCCTCTCTACCCCTCCCCCTGCCCTTTCTAGTCTTTCCCTGAATACTAAAATGAAATGCATGTTTGGGAATGAAAATGGTTTGTGTGTTTTTTAAAATCACATGCCCCAAATGTCAAAATGCTCTTAAAGGTTTGATGTGATACAGAGCCATAAATAATTGCAGAGAAATAACTGTGCCTTTAACAGAGACTCATTGTTAATAGTAATTGCCCTGAGCTGTTTTGAAGGGAACCTATTATCCTTTCACCCTTATTTCTTCTCCCTTTACTCAGCACCCCATATCTGTTGCTGGGGGCTGACAAAACACTTTTAACAGCTGTGGTCTCAGTACCATCATATTTGTTTTACATAAAGAAATGAATTAGGGAATAGTTGCTGGAGGATTTGTAAATGGGTGTGTCAAACTGAACATTTCTCAATAAATTTTGGAATCACCAAGATAAAATATCCAAGAAAGTGTGCACAAGTATTTCTTTAATGATTGCTATGAGTTTAATTAAAATAAAATCGAGGCGTTGAGTATGTCCTTTTAAGGCAGTAGGAGGTGATCCTTATCTGTGTGAGATAAGTTTTACAACACATGTAACTTGCATGTGCACAAGTAAATAACATAATATTTCCAGTTTACTATCTGTTCTCAACTAATACCTTATTTTATGAACTGCCAAATCTTTAATCAATAAGGACAGCTTGCTATTAGTCTTGGTGCAACCTTGTAACAAAGATGGAAGGGCAGCCCCAGTCCCCTGTATACTCCATTCCTTGGTAAGGTTAAGTGAGAAAAAGAGATTTCATGTACATCTTAAGAAAACTTTATATAACATTTTAAGATGGTAGGCAGTGCAGTACATTACAGGCCAGTTTTGTGGGCGGAAATAGCTGTGCAACTATGGATTATTCCTTCCCTATGTTCTGAGATGGAAATAGGCAATAGAATTCCTTCATTGGGAAGTAAGACTGAATAAAGTATAGTATCATGCTTTGTGATGCACATGTTCATTGACTACTGAATAGTTTTGTAGGTTTCAAAGTCCTACAAAACTTTATATTCAGAACCCAAAGTAGTACCAGAAATTCATGTATAAGAAATTAAAGGCATGCCTCTCCCAAGCCACTTTCAGCCTAGTGGGAAGTAAGTAAAAGGATTTTCCAGAGGATAGATAACATATTTCTAGCATTTATATTGCTTCACTAATAGGCACATTAATGGTTTTTAAAATTTTAATTCCAATATTGTTTGTTATGGGCCAATAAAACTTCGCTATGAAATCCTTCTTACCCAGAAAGCTTTACTAAGCAGCCTTGGGCACATTACTTTCTTTAAATTTAATCTATGCTATAGGAGGCCATTGTAGAATCACCACCCCTATGTTTACATGAGTTATCCTAAAATGATTGGATTATGATGTGACAATCATAATTTAAAAAGCTATATAAATTTATATCATCAGATCAGAGTTTTAGAAATATGTGAAGATGCCAGTGATTGCAAAGTTCTTGCCTTGTCGTAGAGGATAATGATGTAGGTAATGTACAATTTTCAGAAAGTCTGTCTAGTAAAATATAGCTTATCCAGGTGGATCAGTTTTCCAATTCCCTATTCTCAGTATTTATTGGAATATAATGTGTTTCATTCATCTGATGAATTCAGGTCCATGTATGATGATGAATCTCCAACACTTACTCATTTAAGATCTTTTCTGATAAGCTGTTTAAGTTGACAGTTGTGTTGAAGTTGCCTCAACTACTGTGAATGTAGTCATCCTGATTGGGTATGGGTGTAACATGTTTCTTAACTTCTTTTTTTCATTTTCATTTTATTTCTGTATGAAGTTATGTCTTCCGTTTCCTTGAACGTTTGATATGTTTGAGCCAGAATTCAACAAAACTTAATTTCACATTTTCCTTTAGATTCTTAATGTGTAATTACTTGATCCAATTTGAACTATTAGTTTATAACTTAAGTTCTTTCACAGTTTGGGACAGGGTATCTAAGGGACTGCATGTATATAAAAAGACTACCAAGCTGTTATTCTGAGACATTTCTGTGGATTAACCCATTAGGTGATAGAGATAGATAGCAAAAGGCAAAAAAGACCTTGGTAGTTGTGCTCTTACAAAGCACCCTCTCCAAAGCAATTGCTCTCATGCATATCTCCTGTCATTTTATACCAGAAGATCTACTTTTATTCCTCATTCAGTGCGTGGTGAGTTTTTTGTTCTCTGTTTTTCTGCTTCTTTTATATGATTTTTGGACCAACTTTAACATATTATTTCTATTTTGATCTTATTTTTATGCCTTGTCCCATAGAAATTTGATCATAGCTTGGAGAACAAAAAACACTCATTACCCTCTAGTATCTTAGAAAGGAAAATACTGACCAGCAAAGAGGTCAGTCTCCCCAGTCAGCTAGACCTTCAGAAGCTTTACTCTAAAATTAAGAGATACTTAATTTTGCACATTTCTATGCAATTTCTGTAGTTGTATTTCTATGATTATACTGTAGTTGTATTTCTATGATTATACTGTAGTTGTATTTCTATGATTATACTGTAGTTGTATTTCTATGATAGGTAAAGTTGAAATCCCTTTTCAGATGAAATTAGAGGTCCTGACAGAGGTAAAAAAGGGTGAGAACATCCAGTCCAATTTGTGCTCAGTGAAGAATCTTCAGCATCTTCAACAGAGGTTTGAAGATAGTTTACTTAAAGGTCTCTAGCAAAGTAGAATTTGTCAATTTCCATGGTATTTTATTCAATTACATTTCACAAATTTAGGATTTTTTTTTGTAATGTTTAACCAGAGTTTACTTCCTGCAGTTTCTACCTAGTGTTTTGAGTTCTGTTTTAGGAACAATAGAACAGTTCTGTTGCATCTTTTGCAAGTCATGGTTTTAGTTATATAGAGAGAATTATTGGCCTTCTTCTGGCATTCATCTGGTTGCATTAAGGCTTGAAACAGATTTGACCTCCAATGTTTTAAAGCAGACTTTAAAACCTACAAGCAGATGTGAGCACACAACATTTCTTCAGACTTCAGGACTGAATGTAGGCAGTCTGCAGAGCTGCCTTCATGGCACCATTTTACAAGCCCTCACGTGTTCAGGCTATAATCCAGCAGGCTAAATTTACTGGCTTTTTCAAGTGTTTCCGTTAGGACTTGTTATCCAGCCCCCACACCTTCCTGGTTGCTTTTCTGTGATGTGCTTCAGTATGTTTAATATTCTTAAAACATGTTGCCTAGACTGAGCTTTTTATTTTTAAAAAATAAGTGCGAAAGTAACCTAAATGCAATATTTTTCATTTTATTTCAGCTGAATATTGCTTTGGTTTTGGCCTACTTTCTCAGAATCCTCAGAAATTTATTATAACTCAAGTCTAAAGAAAGTGTGAGACCATTATAGGAGTCTCTGTGGGTTCAGAAAAAGAAAGGAAGATGTGATAAATGTTTCTGAAGCAGAGTCAAGAAATATGAGAAAAGCATGGGTAGCAAATGAAGAAAGGAATACAGAGCCTCAGAGAGCAATGTAACATATGAGCTGGGTTATTCATGAATGGTCATAAACAAAAAAGTGTAATCCACAATAAATTTGAATAAGAAAAAATGGAAAAGATGGAATAACAAAATAAAATGTATCATCACTGCACTTTATCAGTAAAATAAACAGCATACAGAAGAATAGAAATCCAGCTCAGATACAGGTAGTCAACAAGTTACGAATGTAATAGAGCCTGCCCATTCATTCGTAACTCGAAAACTCGTTAAGTGAACATGAGGTATCTCAGGGTGGGGAAGGCCACAGAGCGCTTAATGATGGAACAGGCCCCCAAGGCCTCCTTGACCCACTAAGATACCTCATGCTTTCCCTTCCTGCCACATTGGACTCACCTTGAAAAGATCTGTCTCCTTTCTGCCACGGTTCCTGCTGCCGCCTGGATCTGAGGCCGGGGGACGCTTCCACGTGCCTCCGGAGGCTGGATCTGGGCATTGAAGGCCTTTTCTAGGCCACTGCTGCTTGGATCTGAGGCCGGGGGACACTTCTGTGTGCGTCCGGAAGCTGGATCCAGGCACCAGATACCTTTTCCAAGCAGCTGCTACCTGGATCTGAGGCCGAGATATGCTTCCTTGTGCTTCTAGAGGCTGGAGCTGCCATTGGAGGCCTTTTCCAGACCGCTCGGATCTTGAGACTAGGAATCCCTTCTCCATGCTTCTGGAGGCTGGATCTGGGTGCCAGAAGCCTTTCCCCTGGATCGGGCCTCCGGAGGGCCACGGAAGTGTCCTCAAGCTTCAGATCTGGGCGGCAGCATCCTGGAAAAGGCCTCTGACAGCCAGATCCAGCCTCTGAAGGCATGCGGAAGCATCTCCTGGCCTCAGATCCAGGCGGCA